ATATTGATTGCTGACAAGCCTGGTGGTGAGGTATCAAAATAAGCTTCACAATCTGCTATTACGACGAGACGTCCCCTTTGTTTTGTGAATGCAGAAAAGATGGATCTTTCACTAAAACGGGCATTCCCATTTGAGACAGAGAAACAAGAACCTCTCAACAAATCGTCTCGACAGCCGACGCTGTCTGGCGAAACACTGAATCTTGAAGCAGGCCTAGACACCTGTTTTGGCAGTGTAAAACAATCCATCTGATACCACCAACCAAGCTAACACTTTCTAGATCATCGATATAGAGGCTCAGCTTTGCAGTAAAGAGTTCTTATCTTCATGCGATCAGGCGTTTAAAAACCCAGGCTATCCCATCCTAGTTGTACAAACAGGCAACTACTTTACATTAGAGCATAATGGACAAAAGCTTGCGCGTTTAAGCAAAGGACTATGTAGAATCCTCCACCAGGCCGTCACTGGGCGACAGGTCAGCATCCGGGCATTCATACGAGAAAACTGGGATGGCGACCAAACCTCAACGATTCTTCCAATAGAGATCAACATCTACGGCATCAGAGCGAACTCTGAAGACATTGGCAGGGTTTTGTCTAAATCTGGCGTTTTCCTACAATTACCTCGGTACTTGTTGAACAGTGTCGAGTACCACAATCCACACATACTTCAAATAGAAGGGTATGTAGAACAAGATCGAGTGGAAGCTGTCCTTCCGTCGGCGACCCCAGCAGCCGATCTCGCAAACCTACGCACTGAGAGTGAATCTGTCGTCAACGATTCTACAACCATGATAAACCATATTCTTGATTCGCTATCACACCACGTTCTTCTACGACAGCTTCCCGCCGATTGTCGTATAAGGAGTACCCTTTTACCGTAAGATGTAAACGTCAAGCATCTGGAAAAGCTCATGCTAACTTCATTTCCATCAAAAATAGCCACCAAAGGGAAGCCATCGACTTTATTCTCCAGCGAGAGACTAGTTCGCTCCCCTCTGAGCTGAGCTTGTGGAAATATAACGACTTGGACGGGGACAAGCCTTTGTTAGAGTCCACATTTCGAATACACCTTCATGAGCATTGTTAACGTCTAGTTGTACAGTTATCAGCACATCTTCAGTGGAGCAAAGCGTCCGCAACAAGAGGAAACTAAGGGGGGCATTGTTGCTGATGAAATGGGACTGGGAAAGTCTCTTGTCATGCTATCAACCGTGGCTGGCTCTCTCGACCGCGCAGAGGACTTCTTTTCCTCTCAAATCCAATTATTCTCAAATAAATCGGCAAAGAAAGCGCCTTCCAAGGCAACGCTCATTGTAGCACCATCTTCGCGTAAGGATTTCCTCGGTGTCTATGCTACCACTTGACGTTTAGTAAATTCCGCTGATCGAGCTTTTAGTCTTGATTGATAATTGGATTCACGAAATTCGCAGGTATGACCCGCCAGTTGCTGAACGGTTTCCAGCTCCCTAGCTCACGCGCAAAATGCAGACACACTTATTCCGGCGGGCTTACCTTTTACAGGTACCTCGGCCCAGGAAGGCACACAGAAACAGATTTTCTTCACAAGCGGGCGATTGTGTTCACCACGTATGCTACACTGGCGACTGACTTCTGTAGCGGTAAGAATGCCCTAGCCGATATCAACTGGTTTCGAATTGTTCTAGACGAGGGTATGTGCAAGCAC